CCCCTAACCACTCCCCTGCCAGCCTGATCGATGCTTAACTGCTCCCCTGCTGGCCCAATTGCCCCCAACTGCCCTCCCCCACCGGCTTGGTTGCCCCTAATTGTTCTCCCCTGCAGGCCTGGTCCCCCCCCCAACTGCCTTCCCCTGCCAGCCCAGTCACCCCAACTGCCCTCCCCTGCCAGCCATCTTGTGCCCACATGGGGATGGTCATCTTGTACGAGGGTGTGACAGTCAATTTGCATATTACCACTTTATTATATAGGTTTAGTTCTTAGCCAAGTCAATCAGTACCATACCTGATTCATAAAGAGAATAAGTGGATAAATTTGATAAACCAAGTATGATAGTTAATTTTATGTGTCAACTTGACTGGCCATGGAGTGCCCAGATAGTTGGTCAAACATTATTCTGGGTGTTTCTGTGAGGATGTTTTTTTGGATAAGATTAATATTTAAATTGGTAGACTGAGTAAAGCAGATGGCCCGATCTAATGTGGGTAGGCCTTATCCAATCAGTTGAAGGTCTGCATAGAACAAGAAGGCTGACTCTTCCCTGAGTAAGAGAGAATTTCTCCTTCATGACTGCCTTCGAAATGGGACTTTGAGTTTTTCCTGTCTTTGGACTCAAACCGAGATGTCAGCTCATCCTGGGACTTGTGCCTGCCAGTCTTCAGACTGAAATTAAACTATCGGATCTCCTAGATTCTCCACTTGTTGACTTACCTTGCAGACCTTGGGACTTGTCAGCCTAATCATGTTGGCTAATTCCTTATGATAAGTTTCTATCTATCTATCATCTATCTATCTACCTACCTACCTATCTAAAAAGCCTAAGCAACCCTTAAACCAGTTGACCAGTCACTATGACGATGCACTGACCACCAGGGGGCAGACACTCAATGCAGAAGCTGCCCCCTGGTGGTCAGTGCACTCCCACAGCCAACCTCCTGCAGCCAGCCAACCTCCCGCAGTTCCTCCCCCAAGCCGGCTGGGCCCGATTGGCCCTGATTGGCCCCAATTTCTGACCAGGCCAAAGGACCCCACCTGTGCATGAATTCGTGCACTGGGCCTCTAGTATACACATCTTTCAGAATTACAGTGACATCACCAGATTATCTAATAACCAAAATTAGAACTTCTAAGGAATGGACTCAGAGAAAGGGATTTGGGAGGGGAGACTAGACCTTTTATACCATTATAATTTTACTTTTTCATGTTCATGACCTACTTTATAAAAATAGCAAAATACTGAGTGTAAAGAAATATATATTTTGAAATTATGAATTTTATTTCTAACATTTAAAAAATATTGTCCTTTAAAGTTTTAATTAAAGTATCACAGGATATTCAAAGTGTTTGAATTCTAAATTTATAATTTCATAAAAGCACATATTGCAAGACTGACAAGTTACAATTCAAAGTAGTGAACTTGAATTTGTAAGGCACATACAAAGTTAGATTTCCAATAAACCTGGACAAGTAAATATCTTTGAAGGTGTTAATTGTTCAAGGTGTCAAGTTGCTTCTCCTATGACATTATTTTGTATACAAATGCTATAAAGCAATGGCTATATGAGATTGGGTGACAATTGCTCTCACTGTGAGTAGATGTCTGTTAGGAATGTTCCACCTTAGACTCCAGGACTCACTGGTCAGGAACATGCCAAATGGCATGTGAAAGGGATTTATTATGAG